GTCTGAATTTAATTTAGATTAGCAAAGAAACCTCAAGAGTTATAAAACATCTGTTTTCTTTGGAGAAGCTTCAGATCTGTCACAAGTCATGTTAGGTAAGTATTTGTCCACATTTCAACACATCGTGGAGAGAACTGTAGCAGCTGACAATAGAGGAACCATTTGATGTTGTGCTTCTCTCCAACTTCCTGGCAGACACCTATCGGAGATGACAAGGGAGTATCATTTTTACATTATGGTGTTTCTACCAAACTGCTGATAGAGCCCTTTGCAAGATCACAGAAGGGTCTGTATCATCTGATTAGCATTTAGAGAACCTGGTCGGCCGGGAGGGAACCGCAGGAGACCAGAGACTGCCACCCTCAAGGGCTGAGAGAGGAAAGACTCAATCAGTGGTTGATAAGGTTTAGCAATGATAAATCACAAACAAAACTTCAGGCTTAGGAATTCACAGCACAATCTGTCATGAATTTCCTTCCCTTCCCTCCCTCCCCTCTCCAATATCTGATGAGAATTTGGCTTTTAAAATGGTCTGTGGAAGTATAAGAGATCATGCTAGCACAAATTATGGAGCTATGTCTGGCTTTTGCTAGTTTTGTTAGTACTCTGTATTTATTTGTATCTCTGTGTGTACTTATGCAAATTTTGCTGTTAGTCGGTGGTAGCAGGAGGAATTTTAAAGTTCAAGGACTTTTGTTAATGTTGAAATGAAAAAATCTCTTGTTAAAAGCATTTGGTGCAATCCCAACCTTTTGGGACCATTTGAAAATGCATAAGGTTCCTAGTTTGCCACTGACCTATATTGCAAAATCCTTTAAAAAACATTATTTTAGGAATGACTTCAAAACAAAAAGGACCTTCTCTACAGGTGGCTTTGACCTGGCCTATCTGCTGGGAAGAGTCCTTTCAGCATCAGATTCTCCATCAATTCTGGGAGACTGAAACATATTAATCTGCTAACGTATGTATATACTGTGGTCTGCGCCGTTGTGAGACTGACAGTGAGAATGGTGGTTAGTGCACGATGTGTCTTGTCATGCTGTGACTATGGAGAAGAACGAACATTGCACTGTAATATATTAACGCATATCTCCCTCTGCCAGGTCCTTTTCTAAACTGTCCCTTATATGAAGTTTGGAGTGGTAGGAGTATTACTAGCTGTCTTTCGTGCAAATCAGATTCCTCCACATTTTCAGAGACATCAGGGTGAGCAAAGCATTCACAGAACTGCATGTAGGAAATGACCATGAGCAGTTGTATCGCTGCAGTCCCCCCTGAGAAGTGCCCGGCTGCAGCTCTGCAGGACTATGTGCTGCAGCACCTGAGACTGAAAGCTGCTCCGGGGAGAATTGCTGCTCAGTGCAGAATGGGCCCCATTTCTGGTGCACAGGAACATTTTAAGGCGAGGGATCAATGAATCCAAATGTACTCAGTTAAACAGCTAAAAACAAATCAAAGACCACTGGACTGGACCAGTGAGGAAAAAAAACTGTGGGTGTGAGCGAAAAAAAAGGCAAACAAATACCACAGACTGCAGAAAAGCACTAACGGAGAAAATGTCAGTCTGAAAATAAAATCCAGCAGATTGATCATGTAAAAATTGCACATACGAGGCTACACAGTTTGAGTGACTAGATGGTAAGGACAACTTGAAGTCTTTCTCAGAACTTTAAAAATGCATTACAATGTTGGACACTGTACATCATCCAATGTAGTGGACTTTGGATGAAGCGTGTGGGTTTCAACCTAAACTTTGCTGTGATCCTCTCTGTCCCCAACTTGGATGTTTTCCTGGAGTGTTGTATTGGTTCAGAATAGCAACTGATAGGCTGATCATACAGGTGTCCCAAATGTTCTAAAATGACGGGAGAGAAAACTGTTAGCAGAGGGGTACGTTGAGGATCTGCTTTCATTTTTTAACCTCAATAAAACTGTGCACTGCAGTACTGCGATAGCCTATTTTTTACATCTGTAACAATTCCTGCCTTGTAAGAGCAGCAAGATTCCTCCAAGGAATGCCCGACTATGCAGAAATGCTGACGCTGGCCTGATGCTAGTACTAACAATGTGCATTAGTGTTATTAGACAATAACATGTATCCTGGGGCGTCTTCTGGTTTTTGATTAAGCTCCCTGGGATTCTGGCTTTGTAGATTGGCCATTGTAAATGCAGAGGCAGAAGAAAGATGCGATCGCCTCTGCTCCAAGGGTGGTACAACTACCTCTCCCGGCAGGAAGTGTTCAGATGCCCTTGATGACAATGGGCAAACAGACAGTGTTTTTGTTTATTTTCTCATAAAGTGCTGATGAACAAATGAGGCAGAGGCATTAAGAAACTCACGCTGTGAAGAGAGATTTGAGTTTATCAGCTGCTTCATGGCAGGATAAATTTTATATACAGTGAGAATATAAAGCAGTCCCTCCCTGAGGGGTGAAAATCTAAGGTTTTATTTCATAAATAAAAGGGAAAATTTGCTTTTCATAGAGATTTGTTCTTCTTTTAAGTTTGAAAAAATAGTTCTATTTATTTTCTCTTAGTTTTTTTTTGGTGTAACATGATCATGAAACCACCACAGCTAGCTAATTTATAACTGGGGGGCAGCAGACGATGAGAGAACTAATCCATGGATGAAACATTGAATGTAAAGTTCTGAGAAGATCTTCTCTGATTAAACTCTGTTAATGAACAAATTTTGTTTTGTGGATATTTGATGGTGTAAATGCTGTAATGAAAGGTGCTGTTCACAACTAGGGCTGGTATGGGTTCTCACTGAAGTCATTGCAAATGCCTTAAATTACTATTTATAGATTTTTGCCTAGTGGATAGAGGCCATAGTGACCCAGTGCCATCAAACAGATCTTATATAGAGCTCCATCCTGCACAGGGGTGAGAGCTAAAGATCCTGGACTTGCAGGTAGCACACACAAGTCTTCTTTTTACTGCTGCCTTACCTACCTGGTACTAATCATTATATATTTCAGTAGGTCACTCATATTTTATGGCAAATGTAAAAGAAATGTGAATTTTCCTTTGTGAAGCTATGTGGGATCTTCCCTCCAAAGCATCTAAAGGCAATGTCCACATGATCTCTTGTGAAAAAGGTGATGCCATATGGCAGGAAGCCATTTATCTGGCTTCATTGCTGTGGGGAGTGAAAATTGACAGGACAATGCTATCTGTAGGGCTCACGGCCTGGGTCAGATCCTGCTTACCTTACTTATGTAAATAGTTCCACGCATCTCAATGGCTCTGTGTTGTTACAAACTGTCCTAATTTGCACTTTGCAAACTGAGAGCAGAAATTAGTTCCAAAACTCTTCAACAGCGCTGGTCCCTCGGATAGAGAAAAGCTCTGTCCTGCCCAGCAAAATCTTCTGAACTACTGCAGAAACCCAGCAGCGTTTCACAGAGCCTTTTCTTTTGAAGTCTGGTTCTGTAAGAAAGGAGAAGGACCTTGCCTCCCAAGCATAATCCTGTAGTGTAAAATCTGCTTTATATATATTTATTTATTTTGACACTCAACGCCTCTTCCTAATGTATATGCATAAGCTGTTAGGGATTTAGGTCTTCATCACTTGGTGATTTGCCCAGTATTTCTCCTAGTCTCTGATACAAGGGAGCTATTTTTAAGAAAATCTTTAGTTTCAACTTTCTTATTCCTTGATAAGGAATGGACAGTGAAGAGCGGGGTAGGGTGGGGGATTAAACAAAATGTTCAAGGGGAATTTTACAGACTCACTGGAATCCACAGCCAGGAACTCAGACTGATTGAACCATTGCCAAGTCTTCCTTTTGGGTCTGTTTGAACTGTCTTAGACTTGGTGCAGCTCTGGATTTAGCTTCAGTAACAGCCATCTCTTATTCCCTCTGGGGAGAACACCCCGTGCTGCACCTCACTATGAAAAATAAAGTATCTGCATGGTAGAGGAGCATTAAAACAACAAATGAGGGTGTAATGGTTAGGAAACTATCCTTGAACACAGGCTCCATGTGTTCAATAACCTTCTTCACTGCAGCCTTCCTGTGCAGCTGTGGCCAAGTCCCTCGGCCTGCAGTGTGTAAGGGGAGCAGGGCAGTGACACTGAACTGCACTGCCTTATTGCTGGCACCAAAGTCCAGCAGCGTGGAGCCCAGGCCTCCCGTACCGCCCAGCTTTGGCACTGCAACCCCCACTGCCCTCCTGCTCCGTCGGCAAGTGGCTGGTAGGGCCTCTAGGCTGCCAGGTCTGAGCTGCACGACACCATGTGTCACCTACAAGGCTCAAAAAAACATGTTATTTCACTGGGCTGGTCTCACCCAGTAGGTTTTCTGGGAATATACAGTGCACTTTTTCTAGACAGGGTGCCATACAAGACAGCAGGAGCCTTATTCAAAAAGATACAAACTTCTCCTTTTTTTTTTTTCTTTCCGTATTAGCACTGTCTGCAGGATATGAGACCCACAGTCTCTTCCATTGCTTGATGCAGTTCAACCTCAAGTCCTTAGTTTTCCCTAGCACCAGACAACAGGGACTGGGGAGAGAGAAGAAGAACTCACATACAATTTTGTATTCAGAAGAGATGTGAGCTGCAAATTGTTTTTCAAATGTTTTTCTTAGGTGTTTAAGTATGCAAGTATTTCTTCTGAACAAGACACAAAATATTATCATAAGATGGAGCAATTCAGTTGTGCTCATCTGGAATTAAATGCAATCTTGATTTGTTAATTTTGGCATTTGTGAGTGTGTGCGAGGCTGGAAGAAGAGGGATTCCTGCAGATCTGTGTATTGGCCTGGCAGGAGACTAAAGAAATCAAAATAGCATAAGACCTAGGATAGGATTTGGTCTCCCTAAATCTCACGCTGATCCTGCTTTCCTGGCTTGGCTAATCTCTCTGCTGAAGCCAGGAAGCATAAGCACAGGGTTAGCAACCCACACCCATGCCTTTACCCCTTCGCTGTAATAATCAAATTGCTAGAGCAGCCATGGAAAACGGGGGCCTCCCTGGTCTCTCCCTTCCTACGAGGCCACGAGGAGTTACGCACAGCCTTGTGACTGCCTCTGCTCCTGGCCCCTGTCGGCCAAACAGCTTCGTCACTGTGCTCAGCCTGGGGCTCCTCTTCCTCCTGGCACTTGGATGCCATGGCTCGAGTCCCCTTTCTGCAGTACCTCTGTGGAGGGGTAGGAAAGACTTCCATATACAATAGCTCTTGGATTAGCATGGCGTTATCCTGAAAGTGAGGTTCAAAATCTCAAGTGAAGGAAGGCCTAGAACGAGGCTCCTCATGCCAGAAACAGTCACAGTGTCATGCAAAAAGTAGTTCCCCACACTTGCCTGAGCACCGTGTTGCGAGACAGACACCAGAGGTGGGTGCTCTGCCTGGATGGCTCTCCTGGCACGTGCGCTCTCGCCTTGCAGGCCATGCACAGAGAAACGGGGTTCAGTTCAATGGACTAGGTCTTTTCCTGGAGGTTTTCCTCCTGCCACTGCCTTTATAGTGACTCGGAGAACTTTAGGAGGACTAAATCACCTACTCTTTCTTCATATGTACAATTTAAGTGGAGTAATATGTAAGACTTGGAACTGAAGTTCAGAGGAGTTGATTGTGTGACTGGGTAGCTAAATATCTGAGGTAGACAGTGTTTAAGCTAACATGACAAACTCTCCCTCTTTACTCCCTAGTGAAGATGTGCCACACAGAGTATGCCCATCTCAAATGATGTCCCCTTTGTCCCCTTTGGGCCTCCAGTCACATTCATGATGCACAGCACCATTTTGAAGAAAAGCTAGGAACAGGCTAGAGCAATTACACTCGCCCATTTCTCCTATACCTAAAAGAAGCTGTTTGTTTCATACTTTGATTTATCTGTATGGACGAGGCTCAATATTTATAATTTGGAGGCCAATTTTCTCTTTGGCAGATTTTACCAAATATACGTAATTCCACACTTCCTCCACAACAGGAGGAATATTGCCGTGGTACTCTGACACCAGTTTCCCTATCACTCTGATCTTCTTCATTCATAAGATAAAGTCTAACTTTTTGTAATTTTTAAAAATTAGGCTTTGGTTTAGAGTATGTTTCTCCTTTATGGATTTGTCTGCACAATAAAATGATTGCAATGGGGACACTAATGGCTTGGTTGAGTTTCCTGTGCTTGGGTATCAGATGCCATTTGAAATGCTCTGGGATAACCACGGCACAAACATGGGGTGGGCAGACGTAACAGATGACCTTCAAGATGCCCACCCCTTTCTGGAAGAGCCCTGTGAAAAGTTCTAGAGTCTCTCAAGAGGTACTAAATGCAATTTATGGACAGCTGAATCAAGCCTGCAGTAACTTAATCTCTGCCCTCTTGACTGTGGTTTTAATTCATTGCTGTAAAGACTCGGGAAGCCTTGGTTTCTGAGAAACTCATCTCCCTAACTCATTCTTTTAAAGACAGTAATTTTAGAAAGAAATATAGAATGTTGATAATTAAGGGACCCCACCTCTCCTGCTAATATTTTGCCTTAATTAAGATACTTTTGGTAAAAGTCTATCATGTCTTGTTTTTCTAGAAAAATTGCTATGAATAATGAAGGAAAAATGCACTCAAAGGCACGAAATTTCTAAATGATAATTTATGTCATTTTCACTATGCTGTTATTATTGTTCTGAAAAAAAAAATCCATTGTTTGGCGTTATCAGGAATTTCAATGGAAACTCCCTGGAGAAGGTGCAGTTGGCTCACCAGAAAGCTTTTCATTTAAAATACCACTGTAGATAGGTCCGTGCAGGAGATAAGAAGTGGAGGGACAGTTAAGAGGAAACAATAAAATATGACAAAATGTTCTGAAATGATGGTGCTGAGTTGATATTATTTTTTCATTTCCCATTTCTTTCTCCTACATTGTCTTGTGAAGAACACAATTCATATTTTCATCAAGTGGACAGAACAGTTTCAAAGCTGTAGGAGGAAGGGGAAAAGTTTTTCTTATATAATTTCTATATGCTAAGAGCTGTCAGTGGAGTAACCCATTGAAATTTTACTTACTGGATAAACTTGCACTTTGGTTGCGTACAGGTAATTCATTCTTTGTAGTCTTATCCTTTGGAGCAACACTAGTTTTCAGTTGGCCAAGATGTTCCTCATTTCAGGGAGCAGCAGCATGTATGGAGCATTAGCGGTATTTCTTCTGACCCAAATGGTTGATTTATCTTTATGATTTGATGGATTGTTTCCAGAGAAAGGTGAAACTGGTGATAGAGTACATGTGTAATGTACAAGGATAATATGCCTTTAGATTAGGTATCTTAGATGTCTTCAGAGTTTCCTTACAGCTCTATGTCATCCATGGTACTTTTGGTCAGTCCATTTAGATACAAGCAATGCTTTCCCCTATCCCCCCACCCCAAAACAAAACAAAACAAGCTCGCAACATCCTTGCTTCAAAGTACTTCCTTCTCCTTTTGTAGCTCCCATTCAGACATAGGGTTATACAGTTCAATCCCAGTCCTTGCAGGTAGTCTTTATTTTAAGAGACAGTTTCTATTTTTCCCCCATTCTGTTCTTTCAAGAGACTAATTATTTTGTGCATTTATCCTATGTAAAGAAAAGTGGTTCTTATGTCCTTCATCTTCAGTTTGATTTCACCCAAGTCTCAGCATACCTGCATGTTACGGAACTGAAAGGGATTTTGCTATAAATTCATTGTTTGATTTATTCTTCAATGCATTAATCTTTTGCACTGAAATTTCCAAATCTTGTTCAAGAGACTCTCTTTCACTCCCTTGCTTTCTAAAAGATTTAAATGTAAATGCACTAGTACTAAGGTCAGTATTGGTATGCTTTAAGTCAGAGAAAAATTTCCTCTAGATTTCAGATTATAGCAGACTTTGTATAGTGGCCCAGAACAAAAATCCAAGCAAACTAATAGTGTTTGTATTTCTGTGATGAGAGAAGTATTCCAGGATTCTCTACTATTCTTGCGCCCAGACTTTTACAAGTTACAGATATTCAGTTTTAATTACCTAGTACTACTAGCTATTATTAAAGATGCTTGGTGTTTCTTGTTGTAAATGTCAGTTCTTTGAGTTGATATTGCCCATGCTGATTGTCTTCTTGGGGTATTTTTTAAAGGCTGGCTGGAAGCAGTTCGCTTGTTTTCAGGGCTATGATGTTACTTTCCAATCTTAAAATGCTGGGGTTTTCTTAGGAAAACTATCACATCTAATTTAGCAAAGAATTAAATTTGAGATGTGCCTGGTCGTGAAAAAATCTGCATATTGTTGACCAAATTATAAATCGTTTGAAAAATGTTCAATTGGCATGATCTAAACATATGATTTAAGATTTGAGATCTTTATTGACAAGATGTTGAAGAGTATTTTGTCAGTGAATTAGCTCTATTTCAGCTCTTGTCAGAGAAGAGACCCTTCATATGTCATCTCTACTGAGCACCTGTGTCACATGGCAGGAGTCAAATGGGTACAGGCTGTCAACCCCTGAGTTTTAGGGTAATATGTGTTAGGAAGCAATACAGTGATCTGAAGAAGTGCAAATACTCCTGTTCTTCATTAAGGCCTAGAAGGACTTTGCCTGAAAGACAGGAGCCTTCTGAATAAGCAAAAGAACTTAATGCTGACTTCATCTGTCTCACTTGTAGCGTAGACTGTCATCCCGACTGCTCCATCATGGGATTCCATCGTAGGGAAGAGAATTTCTATCCTCAGCTTTAAGATGAATGTTTTGAATGTTTACTGTACAGGTTACACTTTTTTTTTTTTCCTGAGTAAGACATGTCAGAGGTTAATATTCTCGGAGCTTTGCTGAAAAGCTTTACTTTTTAAGTATTGATAACACTGCTTCCTTCTTAAACTCTGGATGCTAAATGTAAATGTGGAGGTCAAAGATCACTGGAAAAAAAAAACACAACCTAAAAAACATGTTTTTTTTTTAATTGCCATTTTGGTTTGATTTCTCAGTTTCTTTTCTCCAGCTGTTTCTTGAAGCAGTCCTCATCCAGATCAAAGACAGCTTCCTTGGGTGTTGCTCTCTAGAAAACTCAAAATATTGACTGCTTTAGCAATTTCTTTGAGTTAAAATCAGTATGAGGGATAGAAAATGTACTGTGCTAGTGCAAGGGAGAGAACTGGCATTCAACCAGTATACATGCCAAAGTATAACAACGGTCAAATAGTTAGGGTAAGTAGAAAAAACAGGAAGGGAAATGAATTCACTTTCATTAGAAGAACTGCAGGATTTCACCTGTAATACTATCTTCTTTCCCTGTGTTTGTGTAACTAACACGTTCCATGTGAGCAAACAGCCCAGCTGATACCTCTCTTGTAGGGTATTCTTAGCAAGGCCTTTTCTCTCTAAGTACACAACTTAAATGCTAATTGATTCCACCTTCTGAGAAAGGAAGGATTTCACGAAGCAGGGTGTCATCCATGCGTTTCTGAACACACAGCGTGGAACCACAAACAGCAGACAGGAATTTTTAGGCTGCGTCTAAGGGCTTTTGCTTCTCATCATTTGATCAGTGTAAAAATCCCTTCTCAAACTAATTGTGACACCTGGGCAGGACTTCATGTTTTCTTGTGTTGCATCTGTAACATAATCATTCTGGATCATTTGCCTACAGAGACACAGGCTGAACACCTCAGGTAGAAGCTAGATCCTCAGCTGCTGTAAATCTTGTGGCTCTGCTGGTGCCAGGGGGCCTTTGGGGTTTTATGTTAGCTGTAGGCTTTTGAGCTGCTAGTCAGGTAGATCTCCGTATGGTCAGGAAGATCTGGCCATATTTGTGGCCAAGCACAGGCATGCTTGCACAATGCAAGTAAAAAGAGCTCAATAAGTGGTAAGAAAGCACCAGTTAAATTATAAGATTATGTGGAATATGATATTTAACATCCCAGCGAGGTCACTGCAATTGGATGTGATCTCATCGTTTCCATCATCTCTGCTAAGAGGTTGCATGACTTTCTAAATGAGGCCAGACTCATCTAAAGATCAGCATGAATATATTTTGGCCTCTGATTTTCATACGTTCGTCAATGTAATACTATTTTATATTCTTACTTGATGCTTGACTGATTTTGAAGGTCTCATGGAAATCTCAAATAATAAACTCCAAGGTTTACACATATTCTGCTGT